GGTGCAGCACACCAACATGGCATATGTATACATATGTAACAAACCTGCACGTTGTGCACATGTACCCTAGAACTTAAAGTACAGTTAAAAAAAAAAAAAAAAGAACAGCAAAAACAAAAAACAATCTTTTAACAATAAAAAATAAATAAATGATATAAAAATTATATTAGTAAACATGAAGTGGACCATTAACAAAATGTAAGCTATACGCACTCACCAGTGCAGTCTTTGTAGCACAAATACAAGCTTAAATATGATAATAACTTTTAAGAACATAAGGGGATGTGTGCTGAAATCATAATTAAATGGCCTATCTCAAGGCCCTGCATGCTTTGCAACACCCACATCACCCTTCTGGTCTCATTTCTGACTCCCTCCTCGTCACTCCACCCCATCGTGCTGATCTTGCAAATCTTTGAACATATCCACATTCTTTTCTCAGGGCCTTTGCACTGGCCATCTTGCAACTCTATCCCTCAGGTATCTGTATTAAGTAACTTCTCTTACCTCCTTTTAACTCTTTGCTTAAGGTCTCTTTCTCCATGAAGCCTTCTCCATGAAGCCTACTCAACCACACTTACCCTGTCCTACTTTCTCTTTCTTCCAAAGCACTCATCTCCTTCTAGCACCATATATAATTTAGTTACTTGGTTTATTATCTGTCTCCCACCTCCCACCTGCCTGCCCCCAATAGAATGAAAACTCCACAAGGTCAGGGATCTTTGTTTTATTCATTGATATATTCCCAGCATCTAGATCAGAGACTAAGCCACAGACGGAGTTCAATACATATTAGCTGAATGAACAAATAAATGAATGGATGAATGAATTAAATTTTTTCACTGCTTTTCCCTTCTAACCACCAAACTGCCTATGGATCTTACTTTGAGAATTAAAAAGAAAATGACAAGCCATCAAAGGTTTTTAAGCAAAAGAATTACATCAACAGAATGGTATCAAAATAGACAAGCTCAGGAGATGATTTAAAATTTGGAGAGGCTAGATCCAAAGAGTTTAGTTAAGAAGTCAACCAATGAAAGAGATAAGGCCATAAATGTCCAATTACTAGGACTTCTTAAGTAGTTTATTTCAAACCTACAATGCACATATCTATAGATACATTATCAATGTTTATCTATACATACATTGCATACACACACATAAACATATATGTTGAACAAGCCTAGAAGAAGCTAAGGACATTTCTCTATCATATGGATATAATACATATAAAAGCTTATGACTTCAGTCATAGTTAGAATAGCCATAAATCCTAGTGTTCCTGGCACAGTCTCAGTTTATACTTGTTGATCTAATGCCCTTTCCAGTTAGTACCATATTTTACTCTCAAAAGTGTCCTTGTCTGGATTTTTTTTAATTATATAGTCATCTTACTTATAAAAAAGACATATAAGCTGGTCATGGTGGCTCATGCCTGTAATCCCAATACTTTGGGAAGCTGAGGAGGGTGAATCATGTGAGGTCAGGAGTCCAAGACCAGCCTGGCCAATATGGTGAAATCCCATCTCTACTAAAAACACAAAAATGTGTCAATGTTAGTGGTGCGTGCCTGTAATCCCAGCTACTTGGGAGGCTGAGGCACAAGAATCGCTTGAACCCAGGAGGCAGAAGATGTGGTGAGCCAAGATTATGCCACTGCACTCCAGTCTAGGCAACAGAGTGAGACCTTGTCTCAAAAAAAAAAAAAAAAAAAAAACACACACACACAAATTTCTTCTTATTTAGACATGATGACCAAGCTTTTGAGGACTTAAGTGGAGTGAGTGTGGGAAAGGTGACAGCCATAATTAATTGTAACATCCACTGGCCAACATAGCAAGTGAGCTGTGTTACACACACACAATTCTTTGGTAAAGGAGCATAGCAACTACTGCAGAAGCAAATGCCACAAACTTCATATATCTAACTTTGGTAAAGAACCCAAACCCTTGCCAGGTCACCTGCATCATGTCAAACCCCATGAGAATTTTCATGTGGTGAACAGACACACCAGTTCTCCCTCTCTGCAACCCCTCTGTATGAAAAGCTGAGATCCAAACCAAACGCTGGAGACACAAGAGAGTACAGAAAACAAAAGCCCTCCTATTATCCTTATGTCCCAGAGAACTTGGAAACTAAGAGAATGAGGAGTCAAGTCTTCACAACAACACTTGTGTTCTGGAATCTCAGTAAATATCCAAGATCTGGACCAGACACTAGATTTTGAAACTTGCATTCCTATCTCTAAGAGCCATGGTAACCATCAGGTCTGCAAACAGGTTTTATAGAAACTGCTCTCCCAAATCACAGGATTTGTCCCAATTAGAGTCAGCTCTAGATATATGGACAGGTGCTAATTTGTATGGCGCTTGAAGACAATAATAATATGGGCTTACAGCCATGGCAGACACTTAATAATTTAAGAATAAAACCATTTTATTCACTATGTGTATAAATAGATGACAAGCAATTATCTCATTCTCCTATCTTTCTTCCTCCTATTTCATTTTTTCTTATGTATTTTTCAGGTTTAATTTTTTTCTGATTTTCTATCTTTACATTTAATAAATAAAAGACTGAAATAAAGCAAGACTCAAAATCTGGTGTCGGAAGAGGGGCGATGAAAAAAATTCAGGATTCCTTAATACCTAGGGTGACCAGATAATTAACTTATCACCCAAACCAGGGCCTTTTTGCACGTGAAAGGGGGTGCTTTTGATAATTAAGATAAATCAACAGGAATAAACTGGCACTGTCACAAGCAAAGCAGGGCATCTGGTCACCTTTCTAATCTCTCATTCATATCCTGATACAAAAGGCATCCTGTGTGTAATGAAGCAACCTCTGCCTCTGTTAAATCAATCAAACTTCAAACACAGTCCTCCCTCTTTCAGGCCAGGCCTGGCTTTTGATAACAGAGCTGGAAAGGTTTTCACCCAACGCTGCCATTCCCTATCCAACACACCAAGCAAAACTGGTTCCAGTTTTTCCCAAGAAAGCAGTCAGCAATGCACAAGAATGTGGATCCAGGCCAGGCCCACAGCAAGCCCCAGGCGAGGAGCCTCTGGTTTCTCTTAAAGGAACACTTTACAACAGAGAAAGCCACCTGGCACCTGGTTAGAGGTTACACAGATAATCCAACCATATAGGTTTAACAAGCATTTTGAATGCAAGATCATTTCATTGATGTGTAGGCACATATTAAAACTGGGAAGATCCCAAAAGCCACCTCTCCTGCAAACACCTTGATCTAGGAGAAAACGCCAAAGCATCTGTCCTCAACTATAGGTAACAACCTTGGTTTCTTCGCCTTTGACTGAAATCAGTGTTGCAAAAGCCTTTTAAAAGAGTAAGAAAATAGGCTTTTCTCCCAAGATCACATTGCCCAAGTGAAACAGAACCAGTGCTTACTTTTATTTCTTGCCTCCTGTTCAGAGGGGTCAAACATTGCCCATATTCTTCACTAAATTTAGTCCTGTGGCTGGCAAATGTTAATTTACCGGAATATTTTCCTTCGCATTCATAACGAGGGAAAACCAGTTTTGTGATCTGGTTGCAATCTACAGCACATAGATAATCCACAACAGTGGTAGGCGCAGAAAAGCTCCAGCTGGTTTATCTCAAATGTTCAGAATGATTTTCATTTCTTTACCGACACTACAGTCATTCATAAAGATTCATTGCCAAATGTTGCCCAATACAGTGGTAGAGCGATGGTGAAGCGAATGTCTTAGGCTGGGAAATCATCATGGAAGTACAGTACTGCCCAGACCTCAGAGTCTGCCGCCAAATGCTGGGAATTAAGAAACCACCTGTCATGGAGATGGTGCAGGAAACTGGATTCAAACTAATGCAGACTAAAGTCAGACAAGAGACGGTTTGAGTCCAAGGGGCCATTTACATACAAGAGCTAAGAAAGGTGCAACTGATTTTCCCCCAGAAGCAGCATGATTATTTTTAAGTTCAAAGACATTTTTGCTAATAAACTGCTTCACACAACCACATTGAAGCCAAAATGTGCCAATGAAATAATCAAAACAAATAGCTCAATTGGCACTTTTTGAATATTCAACAAAAAGAAAAATTAAAGCTGGTTAGACTGCTGGACGATAATGTTATAGTGTCTCCTTTAAGAGATCAAAATTATGTCTTTGCCATCCTCCACCCCACCCTACCCCACCTCTAATAGTGAAGTGGATAATTTCTGAAGAATACAATGACCCTTTATGACTGGCTTCTCTAGTCAGCTAGGGATGCCATCTGTCTCCCACGCTATATAAACAATCCCTGCAGGAATCTTCAGATGACCAAACAGATTAGCAAACTCCAGATTTTCACACCATCAATAATATCCCCATCCAGATTAGGCCTTTTATTTTAATAACTCCAAAGATAAGGTCAATAACTGATCTTTCTTTCTTTGTAGATAATGTGTGTGTCATTTTAAAGATAACCTCTTGGAATATACAGCCATCTGTTGGGAAGAGAGAGAAAAAAAGCTCTCTCTAGGCAACAGAAGAAATGAACCCTTGAGGGAACAGGAGAAACAGTAAAAAGAAAATCATATATTTATAAGACAAACACATGGAGGGCTCTACTAATTACACTAAAATATTCTTCTTCTAAATGACAAACTATAGAACACTACTCCAGAAAAGACAAGTTTCACACTTTCACAAAGGCATACATATACGAAAAACAGAGTTTGCGTGAGTCTAGGACAGTGAAAGCAGAAATCGTATCCAAAAAGCTAAAGGCCCCCGAAGTTTGCATGCTGTCCACCTCTATCTGTAATGATCACAAATGTTTTCCTTCCTGAAGTTTAATATCGATTGAACCCTTGTAACTCTAATTGTGAGCTCTCTCTACTGACTCCAAAGACTTCTAACTCTAGAAGAAATAAATGTGCCTGTAAAGATGTTCTCTAAATTAATAATAATAAACGACGAAAAGCACCCAAGCGCTGCTAATAGAGAAGACAAGGCATGAGAGAGCCAGACCTCTGCAGTCGCGCGTCCTCGGAAACGTCTACGTCTAAATCTGCAGCCCCAGTTTCCTCCAGGCCCCAAGCTCCAGCAGAGGATGTTCACCGCACATTCCCAACCAAAAAGGAAATGAAGCGTCCTCTCCCTCAACTGATGCTCAAATAGACCCCAAAGTCCCAGTTTCCCGGGAGAACCAAACCATCAAACACATCCTGGTGTCTCTCGCCCGCGTTTCTGGGCAGCGGAAACCGAAATGTCAAATGAATGACCGCGCCGGGGCGCAAGGGAGGAAAAACAAAGCCACCTCCCGCCGTCCGCTACCTGCGGCGAGGGCCGCGCGCTCACCTGGGCTCTGCGCCCGTCGCCGCGGGCTGCGGGTGGGGACCGGGCCGCGGGGCGGGAGGGCGCCCCCGCAGTCGCCCGGACCCGCGGCCCCGGTGCCCTCCGGCCGGTCAGTGCGCGCCGCGGAGAAAGCAAGCGGCCGGCGGCGCCGCCGCGCGTTGCATGCAGCTCCCGGCTGCTGCGGCCGCTGCCACGGAGCCGAGAGTCTCTGCGCTGCAGTCCCCGACCCCGAGACCGCGAGAAGCGCCCGGAGAGACGCGGCGCAGTGCAGAGCGCGCCCGGCGCGCCCCTCAGTGGCTCTTCCCGCCGCCCTCCGCAGCGGGCTGGGTCTTGGCTCGCCTTTGTGCTGGCATCTTCCTAGCTCCCAGCGACACCGAGAGCTCCCGAGGCGGCTCCGCGCCGCCGCCCACCCCCGGGTTACGCTGCGGCCCCCGCGCGACCCGCCGATTGTGTCGAGTCAGCAGCGGCGGCGGGGACGCGCGAAGCCATGGCTCCCGCCCGCGCTCGGGAGGGCGCCGGGGGTCCTGCGCCTCCGGGAGGTTTGTGGCCGAGCGCGGCGCGGCCCCGAGCGGCCCCGCAGCTGCCGGCTCCCCGCTGCTCCCTCTCCAGGCGCCGGCCAGCCCGTGTAGCTACCCTCTCACCGCTCCCCGCCACCACCTTCCTCCCGCCCTGGTGCCCGGCGGCAGCTCCAGCCGCGGCGCCCCGGTCGGCGGAGAGCAAAGGGCCTGGCCCCCTCACCTCCAGCCGCGCCGGCGCCCCTTCCGCTAGACGCTTCGGCGGCATCTGTCCCCACCGCCCTGCGGGAAGGCTGGGCTGGGAGCTGCCGGCACGTCGGGGACCGGTGGAAGGGAGGCGGGGGCAGAGGACAGGAGGGACAGCCAGACCTTGGCCAACGGGACCTCCCTGAGGAAGGAGCGGAAGAACGGGGCGGGTGCAGCTGGCCAGAGGACGAGTCCCGCGGTTGCGGTGGAGCCTGAGTTGCTCTCCTTCTACGAAGCCAAAGGACAGGAGGATTCCTAGAGGCGTCGCGGAGGATGCAGGAGACCCTCTGAGGTCATGCAGACAACACTGTTCCTCAACCCCACCAGAGAGCTGAATAGGGGAGTGTCATGCCTCGGTTTCCCCAACTGCAAGGGCAAGACGGTAATACTCATGTCACACACACAGGGTGTGGTCACGATGAAAAAACTGGATTGTTGAAAGCGTTCCCGGGATACTTTGCCTAAACAGGGCACTAAAATTTAAAATTACTGTATTAATACTTTCGGCTATTTACGTCTATAGCGTCTTCATCAAGCCAGTCCCACGTAGGAGAAAAAGTAAAAATGCTAAAGTGTAAATATATTGTGTCCCTCCCTACCCACCCTTGCGTCTATCCAGATATAGGGAAGATTTATTCCGTTTTACAATTTAACTATATCCATATGGAGTTAAGTCCCCAAATAATGGATATCCATTCCTTTGGGACTTTTGAGTATGTGTGCTCAATATTATCCATCACTCCGCCTTTTCTGGTAACAGCAGTTCATTATTCCTGTGGGAACTGCCCTTCCCCCTCACCCACAATGAGTCTTTGTGGCTCCAGGGTACTGACACCTCCCACCCTCAGCCTCCAGAACTAGCCAGTCATCTTCCGGACCGCAGTGATCGGTTCTGGGATGGGCATGTTGATCCGGGAACTCGGTCTGGATGTTTTACTGCAGAAAAATAAGCTCTTTAACCTGGTATAATTAAATTGGAAGGACATAACAGTGCATGCCAATGAAGCCACCTTTGAGGGAAGAAAAGCTGAGGGTGAGAGGGTAATGTCTCACTCTCTGAGAAACCTCAGGAGGTAGATGTGTCTGCAGTGAACTCTACCCTTGAAACCATAAATTCTCTCCCTTTTATTTCAAGTCAGTGTCAGCTGTGTTTTGTCACATGTCGCAAAGGAGCCCTGACTCCTTAGTCCCCTGGATCTGTCAGCCCAGGCATCATGTTAGGCTCCTCCACAGAATCAAGGAACCCCACCGCACAAAAGACCCAATTCCAGTTCTTGCGGGAAGAACGGGGATCCTAGAGCTTCGTTCCCACATGATGTTCTCCTTTACAACTTACTCAAATCCAGCAACCTCACACCTGCAATCCTTAGCTTCCTGTGTGGATTAACCGCTATGTTACATTTTATTCAAAATGGGCCAGGTGCAGTGGCTCACACCTGTAATCATGCCTGAGGCAGAAGGATCTCTTGAAGCCAGGCATTTAAGACCAATCTGGGCAACATAGTGAGACCCCACTAACACAGGAACAGAAAACCAAACACTGCATGTTCTCACTCATAAGTGGGAGTTGAACAATGAGAACACATGGACACAGGGAGGAGAACATCACATCAGGAAGGAGGGGCCTTTTGGGGGTTGGGGGACTAGGGGAGGGATCACATTAGGAGAAATACCTAATGTAGATGATGGGTTGATGGGTGCAGCAAACCACCATGGCACGTGTATACCTATGTAACAAACCTGCACGTTCTGCACATGTATCCCAGAACTTAAGTATAATACATTAAAAAATAAATAAAAATAAAAATAGCCAGGCATGCTGGCCTGAACCTGTAATCCCAGTTACTCTGGAGGCTGAGGCAGGAAGATCAGTTGAGCCCAGGATTTCAAGACTGCAATGAGCTGTGATTGCACCAATGCACTCCAGCTTGAAGACAGAGCAAGACCCTGTCACCTTGTCAAAAAAGAAGAGGAAAAGGAAGAAGGAGGAGGAGGAGGAAAAAGAAAGAAAAGGAAGGAAGGAAGGAAGGAAGGAAGGAAGGAAGGAAGGAAGGAAGGAAGGAAGGAAGGAAAGGAGGGAGGGAGGAAGAGAGAGAAAGAGAGAAGAAAAGGAAGAGGAGGAGGGGAGGGAGGGAGGGAGGGAAAAAGAAGAACCCTAAAAATGAATACAGGTTAAGTGAATCACTATTGCTGCCCTAGGTTTTAAAAAACATTTTTGTCTCACTTTAAAAGCCGCCCCAACTACCTTTAAAACTTTCTACATATGAACCATTAAAACTGGGACTAAGGCATCAAAGAACATTAATAGCAAAGTCATCCTAAAAATCTCAGACTTGCAAAGGTGTGTAAAGATTAGGCAGGTTCTTTCACATTGCACTCCCCATTCATCATCACCACCACTCCCCTTCACAGGATCTCTGACCGGGTCTCACTTATTCTCTCATGGAGCCATTCGCTTAAATAGAACTCAGTATTTCACAAGCTGGTCAATTCTGCTTTGAAACTGCCCTGACATTAGGAAATGATCGCTTACATTGAGTTAAAATACTTCTTCCACCTGACAGTACTCCAAGCACTAAAAACAAACTTGTGAACCACTTGAATTGTCTCTTTTCCAAGATCTTTGCCTGACCCAGAAGTCATATGGCGATGTGTCCTGACCCTTCATCATCCTAGATTGCTTCCCTTCTACAGATGTGCTCAGGTTTGGGACTGCTCCTTCTGAAGCATATGGCCAAAGCTAAACCCAAAGGCAGATTCCAGGAAACTCATACTCCAGCCCTCTTCCAACAACACAGAAGGAGCCTGAGAGACATGTTCATGTGGTCTTATATTTTTGTAAAAGCTTCCAAAGTCATATATTTTAACCTGAAGCAATTTGCAGTGGACTGAATGTTTGTGCTCCCCCAAATTCATGTGTTGAAATCCTAACCCCTAATGTGATGGTATTAGGAGATGGGGCCTTTGGGAGGTGATGGAATAAGGGCCCTTATTAAAAGAAACCCAAAAGAGCTCTTCACCCTCTTTCTGCCTCTTGAGGATACAAAGAAAAGATGGCAGTCTGCAACTGGAAGAGGGCCTTCCCACCCACATCACAACCTACGGGCACCCTGATCTCATTCTTCCGGCCTCCAGAGCTGTGAAAAATAAATTTCTGTTGTTCATAAGCCACCCAGTCTAGGATGCTTTGTTATTGCAGCTTGAATTAAGACAAGACTGCTGTCTCTTTTCATTCTAACTTCCCTGTTGTCCTAATACCCCTTGTTCTGAAAGAAGTGGAGTGATTGTGGACATTTGTGGGGATCTGGCTAAAGGGAAGTTGAGTTGGTTAGGTGGAATACATTTATGTGGTCTGTGGGCATTAAAGTTGTAACAGTGACATCTATTTTGACTGTGCAAAGACTTACAGTCACTTGGGCCCTTCAGTGTTGTGACACAAAAATTATACCACCAAGTATTAATAACTGCATTCTTCAGCACTCAGCACAGAAGTATATGGGTAACAGGGTAAATGATGTTTGAAATGTATGTACAGATTCAGGACTAGAATATGGAAAAGCCTCCCACATCTTATGGTTTATATGTGAAATAAATTTAATAGTGATCTTCCTAAACTTGAAAACAATCCTAAAAATATGTTACTTTCCCAATAATGCATTGTGGACTCAAAAGAAACTCCTCTAAACTACCAATAATAAAAACAAATTTTAGTCAACTTTACTAGTGAAAACACTGGAATATCTATTAACTTTGTAGAACATAATGTCACAAAATCATTTTCATATGAAGAATAAATCAGAGTATAAAGCTGAAATACGTAGGAAAAACGTATCACAGAAGTATGTCAGGCAGTTAATTAATTTAAAGATCATGGTATTTTTCTGTACTTGGTGGTCTAATACTTGTAAGGTTTTTTTTTTCCTCTCTTTTCTTTTCTTTTTTTTTTTTTTTTTTTTTTTTTTGAGGTGGAGTGTCACTGTCGCCCAGGCTGGAGTGCAGTGGTGCGATCTTGTTTCACTGCAACCTCCACCTCCCAGGTTCAAACAATTCTACCTCAGCCTCCAGAGTAGCTGGAATTACAGGCACCCACCACCACATCTGGCTAATTTTTGTATTTTTAGTAGAGACTGGCTTCAACTATGTTGGCCAGGCTGGTCTCAAACTCCTGATCTGAAGTGATTCACGCCCCTCGGCTTCCCAAAGTGCTGGG